TCCGTGGTCCAAAACCGATCCAATCCGTATTTAAATGGATTAGTTCGGATTGGTTCCATGATTTAAACGGATTGGATTGGTTCCAATTTTTCAGAAACCGTAGATAACGGATTGGTCCTGATTTTACCCCAATCCGGTCCAATCCGCACCATGCTCACCCCAACTGGTTTATGAGTACATTCAAAATGGATCTCTTAGTAATCACAATCACGAACCTTTACTCAAAGGTATTTATTTAGCATAGGTCAATCAACATATCAGATTCAACCCAACTCTAGAATAATTCGAAATTCGAGCCCGGTATGTTTGGGTCTTTGATCTGAAACCCAACCCAACTATTTGTTAATTCAAATACCAAATAGAGGTGGTCATCTCCACTGGCATACCCCAACAACTCCATCTATAAAACAAAAGTTTGATTGGTAAAAAATTATTGCACTTTGTTAAATCACATTCGATTTCATTTTGCAAGGATGAATATTACATACGACATTAATGTGATGTATGTTGGACCTCAATCTTTACAAGTCTATGTATTAAGAATTTGCATTTTTAAGCTAATTCTCAATTGGGTGGGGCGCGTTCTAGATTTGTGTGATGTAATCAGTCTAGGTGATCATGTGCATTGTCGAACAAGTACAGGTCATTTTTGGACCTCAAACTTTACATTTTTAGGCTATTTCTCAATCAGGTGGTCGTGTTTTAGATTTGTAGTTCACTACCATAAGAAATTGGGGGTAAGTTCCCATAAAGCGTTTTTGTTCCACTTTTGAGCACAACTTTCGTTGCACTATATTGACAAAGTAGAATCACTGTCCGCGACTCAAATTTCGTAATAGGAGGTTTTTTTAGGGTGTACTTCATTTCCGAAAGAAATAGTGGGCATGTTTCCAAATTACATTTTCAGGCCACTTTTGAGACAAAATTCATCGCACCATTTTGAGGAGATAGAATCATTGTATCCACCTCGACTTTTCCATTTAGGAGTTTCGTAGGGTGTACTTCATTCCCATATGAAATGGGAGGAATGGCCTAACCTAAAAAGCTAGGAACATAAAGCCAAAACAAACTCAAGATAAAAAATTTAAAAAAATAACAAAACAAAACAAAACAAAACTCACAACTAGAGTGGATTAGGTGAAAACAAAGAGGGGATCTAACAAGTAGAGATTTCAAATCTACATGCTTCTTTTGGTTTCACTTCATTAAAATGATTGAGTTGACTCAACTGCCCTCAAAACTGCAGCTTTCTCTTCAATTATTTCTGCACTTCACATCATTTGTTATAGTGGATTTGTTATCTTGAGAAGATTCACTACCAACAAAAACATCAATAAAACCTTCTTCATTTTGAACCAGTGAATTGAGGATACCGAAGCAGTTAGATTTTGGAGCCAAACTGTTTATGCACAGTAGCCGTCCCCTTGGAGGCAGGGACCACTCAGTCTGAAGTTCTCTTATCATTCTTTTTGGCCACATCCACTCATTTGAGGCTCTACTTCAAACCTCTCACCTCCATTCCTAACCGAGAAGCTTAGCATGATTCAAAGCTGTAGGACACACTTTAAAGGTATGTCCGTAGATTTCACAACTCGAGCATCTTTGCGAGTTCCAAGTAGTTTCAATTTACTTTATGAATAAAGATTGAGAGCTCTAATTTGGAGCTCTAAAGAGAGCTCTAGTGATGTGGCAAAAAAAACAAAAAAAACAGAAACATAGACACACATCACATCACATGTGGACCCCACTGCTTGCCACATCACTAGAGCTCTCTTTAGAACTCCAAAATTAGAACTATCTATCATTGTTGTTACTTTATTTTTTTTTATCAAGTATAACAAAATTTTATAGAAGGGCACCAAGGGATTGCCAACCTGTAAACAAAGGAAAGGAAAGGCAACTACACATCAAAAACATATTCAAACGTCTACAAAATCTAAACATTGAGTCAAAGACAGGTTAACAGCCTGGGAAATCAACTACAAATAATAGACAAAAATTTGCTCTTGATCTCAAAAATTTGTTCCTTTTCCCTTCAAAGTTCTTTACTCCACTCTCCCCAAATTAACCACATAATTGCTAGTGAAACCAAGCATCAAGCCTTCCTCCTCCCCAAACGAGCTTCTTTCCAAGAACAAAGAAGCCCCCCAGCCTCTAGAGAACACCACAAAAAGAATCAAGGACCAAAGTGAATAAGATTAATCAATGTTTCCTTATCATGCTTATGCTATGTGTGACTTACCAACGGAGTTGACTCAATCTTGAATAAGAAGATGACTCAAAGTTGCAGTTCCACGATACTAAAAGAAGAGAATAGTACAATGCCGCTACAATAAAGATAGCATACGAATCTATTTGCACACCATACTTTGTCTCAGTTCACACCATTCATGTCGTTCAAAGATCAATTTTCAAACAAAAGTTCACACTATTCATGTCGTTCAGATATCAATTTTCAACCAAAAAACAATTGTTCGAATATCAACTTCCGAACAAAATTGTTACGATATTGACTATCGAATGGGGTTTTTGTTCGGAAATTGAAGTATGAATAATTGATTTTTGTTCAAAATGGTGTAAATTAATAATATTTGTGGGGTGCAAATATATTTACCCATATATAACAAATTATCATAATACCCTTTGTACAATTCACAACTGCATGGTGAATTGGATAGTACTACTTAGGCTCAACAAACCCAACATATGCATAGAACACCAATTAACATGAACTTGCCTCCTAATTCTAATCAGATTATCAATCGTAGTGAGATATTGTAATAAATCCAACATTATTTTTTACAATTACACAAAAAACCAGGAATACATAAAAACACAAAATTCATATCCTTTCTCTCTCACCAATATTCCCATAGTGAATTAATTTTGAGTCTCTCCAATTTTTTTTTCTTGCTCACTATTAAAATTGAATAAATTATTTTTTATATCTATACTTTTTTAAATATTTCTAAATGTCATAATCATATCCTTGTCAGCATTCAACAATAGAATTGATATAATAAATATTTTACATGCTTTTGTGAATGAAGATATTATGTAAATTGACCAATCAATTAATAGTCGACCGCTCTACCACTGAGCTATTGGGGAAGAACGGACTTAAGGAAGTCGCCAAAAAGCTCCCCCCCAAACTCTTACTACTTGTACTGGGCATGTCAATCCAGTGTTTTAAAAGGCGCGCCCCTAAGCACGAGGAGCAATAAGGCGCATCATTGCACTTCAAACCATTCGAGGCGAGGCAACATACGCAAGGTGCAGCTGAGGTGCAAAGGTGTTGAGGCAAGGGCTTTTTTTCGAGGTGTGAGGAGAGGGCTTCATGGGCTTCACCTATTTTTCTACTCCAACTGTTGATTAAGTGTTCTTTCTGTATCCATACCACAGGGAATTAAAACTCTTGAATATAAAATGACCAAACATGGTCAAAAGAAAGCAAAATGTGATTAAAAGAAAACTAGATCAAGCACAACTAGGACTACACAAATGGGTTCAACTTCAAGATCATCAACTCCACGCCAACAACTTGTAGATGAGAAAGATGAATGGGAAGATGCAGATGCAGATGCAGATGCAGATTCAGATGAGGCTGAAAAGAAGGATGTAAAGGGATACAAATCCAATGATGATGATGGATGAGACGACGTTCTTCATCATCATGATGTCCATTATTAAGTTTTGAGTAGAATGCAACCATAGGACCTTTTTTTTTCTTTTTTCTTTTTTCTTTTTTCTTTTTTGAACTGCAAACTAGAAGCTTAGGCCTCATTTGGCAACCTCACTTTTTAGCCTAAAAGCCAAAAAGTCACTAAAAAAATCAAAAAGCCAACAACCTATACCAAAAAGTCAAAGATTCCCTTTTCTCTCTACTGTTTGCACATCTTTTTAGAAAAAAATCAAAAAGTCATCCCAAACATACTAGTTTTTTTTACATCATATTTTAGCCAAAAAACCAAAAAGTTACTAAAAAAGCTTGTTCCCAAACGAGGCCTTAGTTGCTTTGAACTTTATGTGGATGATCTTAAAACTTGAGGTTTTTGGTAGATGTGAATGTGATACCTATTTTATAACTTTGCTTTTCTTCTACTACTTGCGCCTCGCTTTGGTGAGGCGTGCGCCTCACCTCACGCCTGACGCTTAGGCTATAGGAGACCTTATTGCTTAGGTGCGCCTAGAGCCTTTTAAAATACTGTGTCTATCCTCCCCTACGCTAGAGCCCGCCGGCTCACTATGGGTCTTCTGGGCAGGAAGTCACTCATCGCCTCATTATCCGTCTTGAACACAAATCGTGACCCGCCTCCGCAGGTGCATGTGAAGAAAGACGCTTTTTCCACAGCGGTGGTGTATTTCTATAATTATGTAATTTTGTGAATTGATAATAATTTTTTAAATATGAATAAAAATTATTATCCATTTAAGTATTCAATTGTTACTTAATTTTAAGTGAAGCTATTCGACTACATCATGAGGTGAAAAACTACCAATCTCTTCAAGAAATAAAAGTTCATACCTTAAATAGAATGAATATGATCAGCTTTTAGAAATATAGGGGGAAACAAATTGATGCCAAAATAGGATATAATACGTTTTATTAAGTTATTGAGCTCTTTTTTGTGCATAGATAGCTACACATATTATTCCTAATGCAGAATTCCTCACAGTATTGATAGGTAAGAATTTTGATTGAATTACATTTTATTCGGTAACTATTATCTTCAAATTTTAACCACCCCTCCCCCTCAAAAATAAATAAATAAAATAATTCATGGTTCCATCCTGGATAATAGATAACCTAAAAAATGGAGTTAACAGTACTCTACATTGCCATAAAAACAAAAAATAAAATATAATCAACCTTGGAAAATCATCAACAAATATGAATCCTTTATCATAATTTGAAAATATCCACAACAATCATTGGTGTTAGAATATTCGACATGCATATAATATTTCGAAGGGATTAACAACTCAAGATCATATCATACCAAACTTTTGGAATTGGAGATTGTTTCTGATAACTCCTGTTGAAGGCTAGCATTTGCTTGAATAATTCGTTTTAGCCTCTCTGTGATGTCACTTTCATTGCTGTAACAAGGTAGAAAAAAGATATTGAGCATCATTGATGTACTCCCACCAATGTTATGAAATGCAATAGGCTGGTTATGAATATGAATATGAATAAACTACACCTAAGGTCCTTCAAATATGTATTCTATCTAAATTTGGTCCTCAAATTTTTAATTGTCAATTTCGTCCATAAAGTTTTCAATTTAAGTCAAATTAGTCAAACTTCAAAATGGACCATCTAAATTATCACAATTGTAATAAAATACATCTATCATCCCTATACTATACGTTCTGTGTTATTTTAGGCCCCAAAGTTGATAATATTTTCACTTAATCCTTAAACACCAATGAAGAACATGAAACATAGCTTAGAAGCGTTTAGGAACTAAATTAACAAAATTTAATTTTGGGGAACCAAAGTGACACGGAACGCATACTTTAGGGACCATAGGTGAGTTAATGATTTACATGAACTGAAATCGAAAACTTTAAGAACAATTGAAAAAATTAGAACTTAAAAGGACCAAAGTGACACAACATATAATTTGAGGACCACAAATGTATTTTAGCCTTGCCAATATTGTAAGCACATTTATTCAAAAAATAGAAGGGAAAAGATGGGGAAAAGAAAACAATGACAACAGAAAGCTCAGATATAAGTAAACTCTGAGAAGCACCAAGCACGTACACGTCTAGGTAGGTGGCACGAATCGGACACTTCCGACATATGTCGGACACGCGTCCAAACATATCCTATTATTTTTATTAAAAAAATTAGACTCGGTCTCTAGGGAAACACAAGTCCATCACTTAATCTGACATGAAACACATTAAAGTTGGATACAATAACTTAAGATCTAATGATAAAAGACACACAACATAGATTTAAACCTACTAATTCATCCTCCTTTAAACTCTAGAAATTTGCGTCATGTTATATATGTTTATTAAATTTGAATGAAATATTCGGATCTATGATTTATAATAAATATATAAAATCATATTTTTGCACGTGTGTGGTGTCCTATAGCAGGGGTTTTTGCACCGTGTCGTGTCATGTCATGTCGTGTTCCATGTGCATGCTTCTTAGAGTAAACTTATGTGTGTGATAACCTTTGTGTTCCACCATCCACAAAGACAGAAGGACGAATAGCTAAAGGCGGCACTGCAATATTCGTAACAATAAGGTTCTCGGGTCTGTCACTCAAATAGAGCAATTCACAATCCTGCAGCACACCGAAAAAAAAAAAAGGAAAACAATGTAATACAAGAAAGAAAAACAAATACAAGTACTACAACTAAAAGCTTTGCATTCCCATGTTTTCTTTTTTCTTTTTTTGCATAAAGAACAAAAAATAAATAAATAAGAGAGAGAGAGAGAGACAATCACCACCAGATAGAACATTTACCTCATCCAGTATATTCTTAAAAAGGGACAGCACTCTGTCAGGGTTTAGTATGGGAGGCATATTAATGGATGCCCTGGATTCTGTTGTGTGAGAAATAGCTGATCTGCATTCTTCTAAACTATCATCAATAATTTTAGAACGATCATGAATGACCCCCAAAATACCTATAGCCTTTTTTACCATCCCTGCAAATGCATAATAAACAAACAAACAAAAAATACTAAGATTTTCAATTCATTAAAGCAAAAGGCCCTTGTAGATGCACAAAGCAGAAGTCATCATCTGTAGATTCCTAATTCGCCATTGACTAAATGCTTTTGAAAATACACTAGATATGTTTTTCCCTCCACCCAAACCACAGAAGCATCTTCTTTTCACTATCAAGAATGTAAGAGATGTGCTCATCCCAACAAATCCTAAGCAAAAGTATGCCAGCAAAAAAGAGGCAAAACCAAATTTATTTCTGTTGTTGAAGAACAACTAAAACCTCATTGACTTATATTTTTCATATATAGAGGACCATAGTTCATTAAAGAAACGAAAGAAAACAACAGCAGCAACACACGCACAGCCAACAGAAACACCATTGCAATATTGAAACAGATGTTCCAACTGGTGAGATCGTTCCATTAATCTCATTTTATGCACATTAACAACATTCCACAAAAACTTCCTAGAATGAAAAGTACTACATAATGTCTAGTGGTAATAATAAACCTATAAAAATAATCCAAAAAATAGACAAGTAGTTTCAATTTGATCACTTGGCAAACCAATTCCAGACTGGCAAGGAATGCCCAAAAAGAGAGCTCAATGTCACGTACCAACTCATTGGCAATGCGAGTTCCACACCAAGCACCATGCAAGTGCATGTGTGTTAGTAGCAAGGTAGGCAAAGTAGATTCCTATCACATCACCTAGTTTGGATTCTTGGGCATTCTGCACAAGGATATGCAGTACCACTCATGGAGCCAGCATCTCGGGAGGATAACAAGCACCCAGTCCATAAAAAGTGGTATCAAAGCTAGCCTAGGGGATATGTGATGGGGACGGTACATAGGACTTACCCTAAGCACCTTCATTGTGGGGTCCGCACCAAGGGTGGTGTCCGCGTGGAAACGGTTTCCATGGGTAGGGGAACGGACAAGCATGAAGATAGGTAGGGTAATGTTCCCCTAACGAGAGCATCAGGATTGGCGATGGTAGCATGTCACGAACCTACATTGGCAATGTGAGTTCTAAACCAAGCACCTTGCAAGCACATATGTGTGTGACCAGCAATGCAGGCAGGATAGATCCCTATTGCATCACCTGGGTTGGATTCTTGAGAATAATGCACGTAAATATGCAATACTACTCATGGAGCCAAGTTCTCGAGAGGATAACAAGTGCCCAGTCCCTAACATCAAGCTTTATCTCAAAACAACTTAAGATGGAGACTCCAAAGTTAATTCAACTGTGATTTTTGATACATAAACCAACATTATTAAAAAACCTAACTCGCCAAATACATTTCAACACCCTCAGCATCACCTCGTCAACACTTTATCAAATATACATCATTTTCTTTTCTAGTAAGGAGAATAAAGAACATTCATTTAAAAAAATAAATAAAAAAATAAATCAAGTCGCTCTTTTTGCAATAATGGTTGCACAAGAAATCCTGCAGACACCCAGCCATAGGGACGGATGTATACTGGATTTCAACTACTATCCAGGAGATATTGATGCAATTGCCCAAGCAAAAAAGTATCTTCTTATGTTGAAAACACTGATATTGCACTAACTGGTCACAACTCAAGCAAAAAGGTAAATAAGAATAACAAATTATACATAAATAACTCATTAAGGCACGTTCACAAGGCTAAGATATCTGATAATATGGACAAATGAATATGAACAAAAAAATGATATGATGCACATGATACTAGAGAATTAATTGGTGGACAATCTTCTAAAGGGAAAAAATAAATAAAAATTCTCTAACCATTTATATATCCACATCTTGAACACTTCACTGCCTTCCTACTACTTGCCATGCCATTACACCTTTTTACCATCAACTTCAAAATCTCACTCTTCTTTAGAGGTTCAATCCTGGAGTTCCTCATCTTCTTCAAAAACTCCACGCGCTCTTTTTCCAGAAGAAGTACACGGGAACACGACTGTTCAAAAAAATAAACAAAAAAAAAAGATTTCGAATTCATGTGACCAGCTCAATTATGGTACTTATACCTCTCTCAGGGCAAGGCACAATGAAAAAGAATTGAACTCATAAACTTAAAATCAATCTTTTCAGTTCTCAAAAACATTTGGATTTATAACTCATTTGCATTTTGAGTCACATAGTTGAGTATTTAAACACGTATTGAGGAATGAACAATATAAGAAGGGAAACTTCTACAGAAGCTGTTAGAAATAATTAAATTACCAATGGCTGCATATCATAAGCATTGATAACCAAATATTGGTCTCCACCATTCACAAAATGTCACTGCTATTTTTTCAAAAACAAAATGACATTGTCAATTTGCTGAAAGCACACAGCAGACAACCAAACATGTGTCCCTTTTGTTTGAATATTTCCACCACATAGATTTACAAAAAAAGTGTGAGGACAAGAAGTCCAACAAGAAAAGAGAAAATCAAGAAAGGACAAATCACATATGACTCTCCAATCTCTACTAATCAAAAATAAAGGAATTTCCTTGAAACTAGGAGACAACAAAAGCGCAAAAGGAAGCAAAATAGCAAATCTTTTCCCATAAACCCTCAATATCTTCTGAATTTTCCTGAAAGACAGTGGAGTTCTCCAACAAAATCACTCTAGGCAATACACCAACTACATATCTCCAAAGAACTTGTGCCTTCATATTAGAACCAAAACCCTAAAATCAGTGTGAAACAAATTTACACAAGGTACAACCCAATTCACTATTGCCCAATCTAGCACAGTTCGCCACAGCGCTAAGGCCACATGAGTATGCAAAAATAGATGATCAAATACTCTCTTCATCCCTCTTAAACAAAACACACCATAGCAAAAATACATAGCAATTAGATTTACTTTTTTCTGAATCATATCATTGTATTAAAGTTTCTTGTAAGTAATTGCCTCCACTATGTAGATAATGCAAACTAGTGAAAGGCATTTACGTATGCTTGCTTAACTTAATTCTAAATAAATATAATTTAAAATTTAATTTACAAATGAAAAGTAAAAAAAGAACAATATGAAAGAAATAATAGTGTTTTAAAAGGCTACAAAAAGTAATTTTATTTAAAAAAAATACAATGGAAAAAAAGAAAATTGTAAGTTGTACTTGTATTCACATGAGAAGCTCATTGATTGAAGTAAAATATTAAGAAGAACAAACAATGAGAGAAAGGAAAAGTGTAAAAAACAAAAAAAAAATGCATACTACCTTTTTTGGGTTAAGCATCCTATCTTTGTCCCACAAACTGAATTGGGGATCATTGGATATTCAAGAACGGTTATTTTTCCATAATATCCAATATGAGGATTACTATAGGGCTTATTTGGTTGTGTTTTTGTTATTATGCTTTCTGTTTCCATTTTCTGAAAAACACAAAAAACTTGATGGTCAACTACTTCCCTAAATTGTTTTCAAAAAAAATTTCTAAAAACAACCCACTTTTAGGAAATGCCAAAAAGATCTTTCCAAATTTTCCAAAAAAAAAAAAATTCACACAAAAATGAAAATGTTATGAAAACAGTGGGTGATATAATTGTATCCAAAAGCACCAAAAAAAAATCAAAAAAATGAAAACGAAGATATAGGAAATGTGAATATGATATAAACCCTTGTCCCTTAGATCAAAGAAAGAAACTGGTGTGATGATTAGCGTTTGGTAATGTTTACGTTTTTTGTTTATGTTTACAAAAATTTTATAAATTGGTTTTTGTTTATTTTTAAAAAAACATAAATTATAAACGCGTTTGGTTTGAACAAAATGTTTGAAAAATTTTAAAAACATAAACTAAAAAATATGTTTGTTCAGATCTAAAATATTTATATTTATTTTTTATTATTTATGACAATAGGATCATAAACATTATAATTGAAAAAAAAAATTAATTAAAAAATTTAATTGAAAAAAAAAATTATTAGTCAAAATTTTAAATTTCTATTTAAAAACCAAAATGAGATTACGTTTTTTCCTCAAATTTAAACTGAGACAACCATTTATAAACCAAAAAAATTATCAAACAAGTTTTTATGACAGTTTTTTAAATTTTTATAAATATAAACTGAAAACTAAAAACGAAATGGTTACCAAATAGGCCCCTCAAACTACTTTTGTTAGGGGAGATAATTTTGATGTGGTTTCAGTAGTTAATGAATGTGTGGATTTAGATCAAAGAGTTCTCTATCGAGGGTGATATTAAGTTGGACTTACAAAAGGCTTAAGATCATGTGAATTAAGTTTCCTCTTTTGTGTTACAGAGGATGAGTTTTATTGAAAAGTAGAGGTGGCAAATTGAATTATACATCTCTGCAATAAAGTTTTTGGTTCTTGTGAATAGCTAAAGGCTTCTTCAAGAGCTCCAAGGGTTAAGCAGGGGTGATCCACTACCTCCTTTCCTATTCTTGTTTATTATGAACGGTTCAAGTCGAATGGTAGGCAAGGTGGCCAATGATGGTTCCCTCAATGGCTTTGGGGTGGAAGTGAGGAATAGAGCATTCGTATCCATTTCTCATTTGTTAATTGTTGATGACACTTTGATTTTACACAGATCTAGTGAGGAGGAGTTGAGCTGAGCTTCATGAGATGTATTTTCCTTTGCTTTGAGATTGTTCTAGGGCATTGGATCAACTTGGCAAAAAGTGAGTTCATTCCAATGGGGAAAGATTTGAGAAGAGGTTGGCATCATGGAAGAGGTAGTATTTGCTGAGAGGTAGTAGGACTCTTATTAAGAATGCATTGTTTAGCTTGCCAACTTACTTTATCTCCACGTTCACACTTTCCATTCTAGTGGCTAGTACATTGGAAATGATGATGGATTTCCTTTTGTGAGAATTGGAGAAGGAGCATAAGCATCATCTTGTTGAATCTCGATAGAGTATGGCAAATGCAAGCAAGCGACGCAATTAGTGAATCATCGTCTATAGCATTGCACAATTACCATCACAATTTGGAGTTTGTTGTTTTCAGCCTTTGGTTTGGCTTGGATGATGCCAAGTTCAAGAAAGAATCATTTGCTTGCTGCCAGTAAGGATGCCCAAGGCAAGGAAAGAGAGAGGCTCCGAATACGACTCTTTTAAGCCTTTTGTGGTGTATTTGAAAGGCGGGGAATTTGAAAAGATCAGTGCTGACATCCATGTATTTTTTGCTTATAGAAGATTTTCCGATTTCTTTATCCTATTTTTGTTGATTGTTCAAGAGATTTGTACATCTCTGACAACAGACTGGTGTTAATGTGTTATGCACATTGTATGACATATGAAAGACATAAGAAGCTTTAAAATGAATTTAATGACACCATAAAATAATCCTAGAAAGTGATGCCATAAAATATTATCAAGGCAAATTACAAGTTTGATAACACTAAATAAATTCAATCATAGTGAGGCCTTGTTTGGGAAGTGACTAATATAGCCAAAAAGCCATTATAAGTTGTCACATCACTCACTCTACTTTTCTGCACATTTTTTTGTAGAAAGCCAAAAGGCTAATTAAAATAGTCAATTCCCCAACGAGCCCTGAATCCACGATTTAGCATTAAAAGTAGTGACGTTAATAATAATAATAATAAAAGTAGTGTTTTTGAAAATTAACAAGATATGTAATATCTATAATTTGGAAATTCGATCAAACAGTAAGGAAAATAAATGAATTGCAATGTGTCATTTTGAAAATTCTACAGCGCAAAATATAAAATGTATGTGTGTCCATCACAATCTATTCTATATATAAAGCGCACATCTTTCATAGCACACCCATTGGGTGTGCACAATGTCTAGTATATATGTGTGTTTGTGACTTGTGTACACACGTTCACTGTTTTAAACTTGAAATTTCCTAATTGCATATTGTTATAGCATGTCTTAAACTCAAAGTCTCCTACAGCTAGAGTTCCAAACCCTACCTCAAATAATCACAGTTGAGTTGAAATGATTTCAAAGGAGGAAGTGAAGTAGACCAGGTATATGCCTATAATTGCAAGCCAAAGATCTTTAAGGAAAAAAAGAGTAGATAATAGTTTGGAAGCAGGATCCATATTTTCTTTTTCTTTTTCTTCTTTCTTCTTTTTTTTTTTTTTTTTTTTTTTTTTTTTTTTTTTTTTTTTTTTTTTTTTTTTTGGATGAGTTTGGAAGCGGGGAACATATAGAAGCATCTATAACAAAATATACTTCAGTACTTCACTACCTTGCAAATGCACTTCAAGATGTCCACAATAGTACTCAAATACCCAACATTATATACAGGGAGAGCAAGTGTCAAGTATCCGTAGTGCCCAGGACAATCTGTAAAACTCCCATGGCAAGTTGCACAGAAACTGAACTTATTTGGAGGCCCCTAAAATAACAACAAAAAGCGCCTTCAGAAATCTTTCTACCAAAAAAAAATTAAACAAATACAACTAAATTATAAAGACATCTTAAATTATTGCAAATAAACCAAAATAAATCTTGATATTTATAAGTTGAGTGCTATCCGCTCAGCTAACAGCACTGTGGCAAGGGTTTGAGTCAAGAGAATCAACCTCTCCACAAATGTTGGGGTATTGTCTACGTACTACCTGACCCAAATCCGCCTGTAAGTGGAAAAGGAAAAAAAGATAGAATCTATGACAGGAGTGGACACTTTATTTACTCTTATCAAAATAAGTATATCTCCCCGTGCATTTCTTGCATGGGAGATCAAGGTTGTTGTTGATAGAGAAATGATAACAAAAAGTTTTACTGAGCCCAAATCCTTCACAACAATTTGAATATTTATACATGTGTACACGTATGAAAGACAACATGTCCAGAGTATTACCCTTTTTATTTTATTTTTTTGAGCATCAACAAAAATCTTATTAAAAAAGAGAAGCAAAAGAGGACAAGAAGTCCTCATACAAAGAGTATAACCCTTTTTATTGCCCACCACACCATGCCATAAGGGTCCCATACAAGATTTGCTAGTCACTCAGTCCTAAGAGCTGATGGTTAAGAAAAAGGGATTCATCTCTGAAAATTTCTAGGAAGGAATTCAGATCGTTTAATAGCGAGATTGCTTTTCGCTTATGTTGTAATCGGGCACTTCATAATAAAGCATTCAAGAAAAAGAGAAGGAGTTCAATTCAAGAATTTGACTGCATAAAGATAAGGCAGTTGTTCATATAACGAACAAAGTGAACAAGGGATATGAACTTGAAAAATCAAACTCTGGGCATTGTTAAAGTCTGGTTTCATGCAAATGTGATACAAATGTTAATTTCAAAGAAAATAAAGAAAAAAAAATTTAAAAATTGTTATGCATATTATTCATTTGACTAAAAATAACCCAAGAAACTTGCTGATACTAATTGTCTTTATAATAGTAAACAAGTCCATTCATGATCATAGTACAGAAAGCACAGTAGTAAAATAATGTTTAGTACATTACAAATGGAGACAGAACTTCACATCCTCAAAAGTGTTTAATTAATTTAAATACATACATAAAATTACATATTATATTAAATCTTACAATTCAAGATTCACTATTTCAGCAAAATGATTCACGAATTGATTCACGTTTTGATAACAATGATTGCACCAAATTCACAAGTCCACGCAACATCATCTCAAAAAGACTACAACCAAGTACAAGGAGCAGGCAGACAAGAAGAGGTGGTTTGTGGGGTTTAATGTATGAATTATGTATGTGGTTGTTCCAACAAAATCTATTTCCAGCTGAGGAATACAAGCTTTCTGCCAGTAAGCTCAGCCTCTTGGAGATCATCAAATTCAAATGCCTACAGATTGAAGCTTCCCAGCCATATTTGTACTTCTAATGTGTTCAATGTCAAACATCTTATTTCATATGATGGTGATAGTTCAAATTAAGATTCGAATTCATGGGAGAATTCTTTCGAAGCTGGGAAGGGTTAATGCAGAACAAATGGCCTTGGCCAAGTGGGCACATTTTGGATCGCAAGAGGCAAGACTTTAAATAAGTGCTCAGGCCAATGGTAGATTAAATCTAAAAAGCTCATGTTTGATAACTATCCAATGGTTAAAACTCTCCTCTTTGCCATACCTAAGGCACTCTTTGGACAAGTATCAATTCCATTTTACACCTTTTGGATTAATGGTTTAATAGGGAAAATGAAGGATTTGGAGGGATGAAGTTAGTTAAAATCATGTTTGGATTGATTTTCAATGAGGGAAAGGGAAGTGCATGAACCAAAATTGGGATTGGGTGGAAACGGAAGGAAAGGAAAGGAAAGTAATGCTAATAATAATAATATAAAATATCTAATGAAGTATATTTGTCATTAATTAAATATTATCTAACCAAACAAAAGAAAGAAGACTTCCTCTTCCTTTCCTTCCCTTCACAACTAACTTTTCCCTTCACTTTCCCTCCCATCAATCCAAACAGATGTTAGGTTTTTTCTCTTCTCTTTTTTTTAGAAATTACTTTATCCAAAAAAATTTGTGTCAGTCGCCATTTGTTTTGGCATGTTTCTTAAAGTCCCTTGTATTCAAATTTTGGGTTAAATCGAATTGGACATTTTTAATAATTTTTTGAATTTATTTATTTTTAGCTTCATAAGAAGTAATTGCCTTGTGTGACTATTTACTATAAGACATTTGACTGCTCTACTATTATTATAAATAAGATGTGAGCTTTAGGGTTATTTAGTTATTAATTGTTTATAACACAAACTGATATAAAAGTTCTCAACATTGGGCCTGTTTGGTAATGTTTATATTTACAGTTCTCTGTTTATATATACAAAAATAAATTGAAAAACGTAAAACAATAATCGTTCGGTGTCTATTTTTGTTTTCAAAAAATTGTAAATAGTTCACAAAATTTACATAGTTCTTGTAACCACAAAAACATTGGTTTCACTTGTTTAGAAAAAAAGTTCTCATTTCTTCCTCCTCCTCCACCCCCTTCGGTCACCACCCATCGCTCATTATCACCACTATCAGCCACTGTCATCGGCCACCACCCATCGCTCATCATCACCACTATCGGCCACTGTCATCAGCCACCACCACCCACTAAAGGCAAACTATTTTCATCCACCATCTCTTGCAAGAAAACACCTTTGGCAACCACCACCACCATCTCCAACCCTTGACAACCATCTTCAATCACTACCTCCTAGGACCACCAACCACCTCCCATCGTTGACAACAACCTTCGGCCACCGCCTCCCGCCCGACACCTCTCTTATTTGTTTTCAAAACACGTGTATACCAAACATGTTTTTTTTTTTTTATTTTTACCAAAAATAAGCATGAACATGTTTAATGTTTTGTGTAAACAATAAACTGTAAACTTACCAAATGACACCAAGTGTTTGAGTTTATCTTTGTTGCATACTTAGTTTCTTACAGACATCCCTACATTACGCACTTTCACTAATGATGTAGAATAAAACTTCATAAGCCAAGCAAAAGCCACTAATCCTTACATTGCCACCCAAATTTCTCAATCCTATGAAACATGTTGAATCATACAATCAATAACAATCATAATAGAATTCCATCAAGTCAATTAACTCATTATTGCATCGACTGAATTGGATGAAACATAATATACACAATCCTTCATAACAACTATATATATAAACTAAATTAAACCAACCCTTAAGTCCTATCAAATAGGGTCGACTACATGAATCATTATTCTCTATTCGACTCCATCCAAGGCTACATCATTAGTCAAATTAAAAAGATTCGTATCGCTATTTATTACACCAGTCCGTGTCAAATTAAAGAGATTCATAACAGCTATATATGTATTAAAAAATAAAAAATATGTATAGGGAAGTACCATGCGAGGGTCCAACAAGCCATTTTCATGTGGCTTTTTAAACTGGTCGTAATAAACACCGCGGTACACTTCAACTTCAGCGGCTTTGTAAATATCGGATTCGGAAAACATCGAAAACTGAATGCTTTTTCTGCACATACAACAACCACCCAGAAGAAAAAAAAATCAAATTAAAATTTATTAGAGGAATTGTTTCTAAGTGAATTAACATGGAAACCACAAAATCTTGTGTCAAATCCGAAATTCACATTTTCCGAGGCCCAATATCCTCGACATAAGGCTTTTTTGTGAACTGAAGGGTTTCTTGGGGTTTGTTCGCCATCTCTAATAGAAACTGAACACGATCAAATATAAATAAAAGGTATATACAGAGACAGAGAAAAAGACTCTTGAATCAAGCTGTGGGGTTTAAGGCTTCAAGCAAGCAGGTTTTGGATTGTGAAAAGTGTGCTCTCTCGGTGTGAAGGATACGCGCACAGAGAGAGAGGAGTGCAGACATTTTAAGCACTTAACTTCTCCAAAATTGGGATTGGGTGGAAACGGAAGGAAAGGAAAGGAAAGTAATGCTAATAATAATAATATAAAATATCTAATGAAGTATATTTGTCATTAATTAAATATTATCTAACCAAACAAAAGAAAGAAGACTTCCTCTTCCTTTCCTTCCCTTCACAACTAACTTTTCCCTTCACTTTCCCTCCCATCAATCCAAACAGATGTTAGGTTTTTTCTCTTCTCTTTTTTTTAGAAATTACTTTATCCAAAAAAATTTGTGTCAGTCGCCATTTGTTTTGGCATGTTTCTTAAAGTCCCTTGTATTCAAATTTTGGGTTAAATCGAATTGGCCATTTTTAACAATTTTTTGAATTTATTTATTTTTAGCTTCATAAGAAGTAATTGCCTTGTGTGACTATTTACTATAAGACATTTGGCTGCTCTACTATTATTATAAATAAGATGTAAGCTTTAGGGTTATGTAGTTATTAATTGTTTATAACACAAACTCATATAAAAGTTCTCAACATTGGGCCTGTTTGGTAATGTTTATATTTACATTTCTCTGTTTATGTTTACAAAAAAAATTGAAAAATGTAAAACAATAATCATTCGGCCACCACCCATCGCTCATCATCACCACTATCGGCCACTGTCATCAGCCACCACCTCCCACTAAAGGTAAACTATTTTCATCCACCATCTCTTGCAAGAAAACACCTTTGGCAACCACCACCACCATCTCCAACCCTTGACAACCATCTTCAATCACTACCTCCTAGGACCACCAACCACCTCCCATCATTGACAACAACCTTCGGCCACCGCCTCCCGCCCGACACCTCTCTTATTTGTTTTCAAAACACGTGTATACCAAACACTTTTTTTTTTTTTTTTTTACCAAAAATAAGCATGAACATGTTTAATGTTTTGTGTAAACAATAAACTGTAAACTTACCAAATGACACCTAGTGTTTGAGTTTATCTTTGTTGCATACTTAATTTCTTACAGACATCCCTACATTACGCACTTTCACTAATGATGTAGAATAAAACTTCATAAGCCAAGCAAAAGCCACTAATCCTTACATTGCCACCCAAATTTCTCAATCCTATGAAACATGTTGAATCATACAATCAATAACAATCATAATAGAATTCCATCAAGTCAATTAACTCATTATTGCATCGACTGAATTGGATGAAACATAATATACACAATCCTTCATAACAACTATATATATAAACTAAATTAAACCAACCCTTAAGTCCTATCAAATAGGGTCGACTACATGAATCATTATTCTCTATTCGACTCCATCCAAGGCTACATCATTAGTCAAATTAAAAAGATTCGTATCGCTATTTATTACACCAGTCCGTGTCAAATTAAAGAGATTCATAACAGCTATATATGTATTAAAAAATAAAAAATATGTATAGGGAAGTACCATGCGAGGGTCCAACAAGCCATTTTCATGTGGCTTTTTAAACTGGTCGTAATAAACACCGCGGTACACTTCAACTTCAGCGGCTTTGTAAATATCGGATTCGGAAAACATCGAAAACTGAATGCTTTTTCTGCACATACAACAACCACCCAGAAGAAAAAAAAATCAAATTAAAATTTATTAGAGGAATTGTTTCTAAGTGAATTAACATGGAAACCACAAAATCTTGTGTCAAATCCGAAATTCACATTTTCCGAGGCCCAATATCCTCGACATAAGGCTTTTTTGTGAACTGAAGGGTTTCTTGGGGTTTGTTCGCCATCTCTAATAGAAACTGAACACGATCAAATATAAATAAAAGGTATATACAGAGACAGAGAAAAAGACTCTTGAATCAAGCTGTGGGGTTTAAGGCTTCAAGCAAGCAGGTTTTGGATTGTGAAAAGTGTGCTCTCTCGGTGTGAAGGATACGCGCACAGAGAGAGAGAGGGTGAAGCCGCAGGAAACCAAAACAAAATATATTTGAAAAACCCTAAGCCCTTCTTGTTTCACTGACATAAAAGGGAGGATAGAGATGGTGTTTGGGAAGTGAGTTTTTATGTAGATTTTATTAGATGTAGGTTTTTATGAGATAAAAAATTTTTGGTGTTTGGGAAGATAGTTGGGTTTTTATGTGGTTGGATGTGATGTTTGTGAGAGAAAAAGTGAAATGATTATGGGGTTGGATGTGATATTTTGTTTGGATGTGTTTTTTTTGGTTTTGCAAAACTTTTGTCTTTTAGTGGAAAAAATGAGAAAAAAATTTGGGAACTTGCTTCCCAAACACCACCTATAATTTGCAGTAGCATTTGCTTTTTCACTATGTTTGGTAATTTGTGAGAGAAAATAAAAGAATGATTTGGTAAAAGAAAATGTTGTGATTTGTTTCCTTTTTGTTTGAATAGATAACAGAGAAAACAAAAGAAATGGTATTCAGTGTGCTTGGTTTGAGTTTTCTGGATTAAATTTTTTGAAAATTGACTTTTTTAGTTTTCATGTTGTTTTGTTTTTAGTAAATATTTTTAAAATTTTAAATATTTTTTTACTTTTTTAGATGCGCCTCACTTAGATGTATCTAAAAAGTAAAAAATTTGTGAAAAAAACCTTTTAAAAATTCACTAAATACCAAAAATACAAAAAAAAATACGAGAATTCAGTACATTTTTTATATTTTTATGTATTTATTAAATTTTTAAAATATTTTTTCACAATTTTTTTACTTTTTAGATACATCTAAGTAAGGTGCATCTAAAAAAGTAAAAAAAAAATAAATTAAATTCAATAATATTATATTATATTAAATTCAAAATGTGTATTAAATTATATTATATTATATTATATTATATTATATTCAATAATATTAAATTAAATTCAATAATTATATTATATTAAATTCAAAAATTATATTATATTATATTAGATAGACAATAGGGTAAATTGGACATTTTAAATCATATCCCAACCTATGGGATATGATATAATGGGGGATGGTGGTATTAAATTGGAGGATATACAATCTCATAGTATATTATATCCTCTTTAAAAAAAATTACAAACATGGGATATGTGGACCCCACAATATATAATATTCAATCCCACCATTTACATCTTGGAATCAAACAGGGCCTAAAAGCTTCTATCGTAAGACAAACACGTGTTGTTTAACAGTATTATAATTGATGGAGAATGTGAGTGAGGTATTGTATTGGGTGATTAGAAAATCTAAGAGAATATATTAATTGATGATTGGTTAGAATATAAACATGTGGTACTCTGAGAATATTGAAAATTTCCCGCTATGAGAGTGTTTGGATTGATTTTAGGAGAGGTGGGATGTGGAAAAAAAATTACAAACACATGGATGCAAGTGTGTTTGTTGGGGATGTAAGATAAAAGGCTATGAGGTATAAGCGTTATTTGCACCCCTTTATATATCAGTAATTTTTTTCCCTTTCTCTTCCTTGTATGTAGTTTTCTCTTAATTTTAACAATTACTGTTTAGATAAACTACCAATAAGTTCTAATAATTAGATTTAATTCTTATCAAGTCTTATTAAAAACAAGTCTTAGTAAAATTGTTGCTAAAAATAATTTTTTTGACAATTTTTTATATATGTCGCTAAAAATTGACAATTAGTGAATTTTTTTGTCACAATTTTTTGTAAATTGTAGTTAAAACTTACAATTAGTAACGTTTTTCTATGACAAATTTTTTAAACTGTTGCTAAAAGTTAAAAATTAGTGACTTTTTTGGGACAATTTTTTTAAATTGTCGCTAAAACTTATAATTAGTGACATATTTTGTAACAAAATTTTCAAATTGTCACTAAAAATTAACAATTAGTAACGTTTTTTAATAGTGTTTGATGAAAAATGTCATTAATTATCATAATACCAATTGAACAATAAGTTTACCTATTAGGACTTACACGCAAGTTCCTCATTTTTACTAGTATTTTTCTTTATAAAATAATAAAGATGTTAGGGTAAATTAGGGTTACTTTTTGAACAATTTAAATAAGTAGCTTATTTACTATAAATTATCACATTATTTTTTTACTTGTTTATATATCTTTTTATAAAAAGTCAAAAATCACTAAATAAGCAAACTCCAAACTAATCCTTATCTTCCGTGCAGTTTAGAAAAAATACAATTTTTTTACACTATTGATATAATTGATGTCTTCCTTGAGCTGTTAATTTGCATAACAGTTAAGGTATGAATAAAAAATGATGTTATCATATCTTTTTATTAAAATGTATAATTATTTTTGTAACGCCCCGAATAAACGAACATAAATATAATACATCACCTCACATTCACATTCACAATAATAATAAATCCTGACTCACAAGAGATATCAGAAGGATGTATTCACCATGTTCCATTACATAACTGCAAATGTTTATACAAAAGTAATCTCACATGCGATTATACATTCATTGATAATTAACACATGAATCTATAGCATGTGAAATCATTGAACCAAAACGAATAAAGGCCCTCAAGGGCTTACAAATTCCAAGGCATGAGCCTGGTTACACCAAAATGGTTCATCGAACCCATACATGTTAGCCCTTGGCTTTACGAAAAAATTCACAACAAAATAAAAGAGCAATCTACTTTTCACAAAATATATCCACACCCTCAGCTCGGTAGGATCACTACATCTTTACCTGCACCAAAATCTCATAGGAATGAGCATAAAGCCCAGTAGAGAAACTTAATAAAGTATGTATATCTATGCAAGATTTCCAACATTTAATGCAAATGTAAATGCCATGCAATGTCATTTCGAAGATAATCTCATGTCATGCTTTTCTTGAAAATCATCATGTTTTCAATAACATTTTGCAATCTCATCGATTTCAAACTTCAAATTTTAAATCATTGGAGGTAGTAAATACGACACAAGTAATCCCTAGGTTGGTGTCTGCAAGTAAGCTCAACAAGCACTACCAATAACCCCACTTTACCGGTTGCTAACTGGAAGGGAAGTGGTACCTCCTCCACACATGTTTTCGGTCTTTCATCCCGGACACTCAGGCCAACTTATCAATGTCATCTACACCTCCTAACCGAACTTACCAACGTATTTACCCCTTAAACATTTCCATCGTTTTCATTTCAATATATATATATATATATATCCCTTTCTCAATGTGAATATTTCCAATCTCAATTCCAAGATGCAATTTATCAATTGAATGAGTATGCAATGCAACAATTTTTCCATGCCTCATAGTATTTCTCCAATTCCAAGTTATTCCAACAATATTACCATAACAATTACATTCCTCATTTTCCCCTTCTCAATGTTATTTCATAAAATGGTCCAAAGTTGCTATCATAGATCATTATATAACAATGAACCTACAATTCGTATACTCTCATATTCTAAATATCTCAAAACTATAGCAAATGCCTGAACAATAATTTCTTTTCACAACAATACTCATATATCATGGAACCTAACAATGTGCAATTTTATAATTACATATGTATATGTATTTAACCAATGGAAATTTAAGTGAGGTTCCCAACCTTCATACATCTAGAATTATCACATTAACAACAACATTAAGAAATTCTCACTCACTCTTTTATTTCAAGAAAAATCCCTTGACCTCCCACATTATCCCCAAAACCCCCAATTTTCTAGGTTTTTCACAAAAACCCTAACCTTTCCTCCTTTCATTTCAAAAACCTTTCTAAATACATCAATCTCAACTCATGATTCAACATTTCAAAATTTAGAACTTACAAAAGACAAGAGTAGATTTCTTCTACAAAACCATCCATTTCTTGAGCTAAAAACCCATTTTCGAAATAACAAAGGAGAGCTCACAAATCAATCAAAACTAACATAAACATATATATATATAACTCAAAGTAATTCCCTACCTCAAGGTTTGATGAAGAAATGGAGATGAAACCCTAGGAATCTAAGATGCCCCAAACTCAATCTCCAACGTACACAATGAGACTCTAGCTTTGATCTTTAAGACTTGTGAGAGAAGATGGATCTAGACCCAAGGAATTTCAAGAGATCAAGGGTTTTGGAGGTTTATTGGAAGTTTTTAGAGAGAAGGAGGAGCAAAAATGACTTTTAAATTGAGAGAGAAAGGTTAGAAAGTGATACAATTTCGGCCAAAATGAGAATAAAAAGTAGAGTTTCCAGACCTACTAGCGTCTCGCATGTGCAGAGCCTCTCTCCCGCACATGCGACCCTCAACCCTGCACGTGCGGCCTTCCCTTACCGCACCTCATTCCGCACCTGTCTTTTAGGCAGTGTGCAACCCTCAGAAGTTCACCTCTCCCCTCACATGCAACCTCACCTCCCACACATGCGGCCCTGGCCCAGCACCCCAAAAATTTGTTCATTCACTCCCGGACACTCCGAACTCGGCCGTGTACCCTCCAAAGCAAAAGAAAAGTCAACACCAAAATAAACAAGAGCAAGAACTTATTAGAAAGAGACCTCCGGACACCACAAACCCAAATGAATAACAAGGCTTCCAGTCGACCCGACACCCCACAAGACAAACCCAAAGTTTAAATGAAGGAAAGCGGGACGAGTAACGTACACGGTCATCACAATTTTTATTTATTTTAGTATCTATGCACCAACTGTATTAGTTGCGGCCACTTTTATCTTACTAAAAAGCTAAGTTAGATAGACTCTTTGTATTTTGAGAGGTACAAGTGACAACACGACACGAGTACGGGTGCAGAATACAGCCGAGATATGACTAAATACAAATGGATCCAACTGATTTTCTTTTTCTTTTTTTGGTAATATTTTGTTACGAATTTTATGTCTTTTTCATAGTTTGAATAGGAGAAAGGTAATAAAGATGAGAAGAGACTAACTAGCAAAAATAAAAACTTTATTTGAATAGTAACATCCATAACTTGCCACTATGACAATGAGAAGAAACGTGGAATGCTGCTAAAGCAAAGTTGAAGAAACTTGAAAAGGTGAAACAGTGTTGGAGTC